GGAGTACTGAGTCTTCAAAGCTAGGCTCTTATCCAATTTGACTTCCAAACTTTTGAAGCGACGACGAGCCAAGCAATAGGAACGAGAGACGAACTGAGTACTGCCCATTTACGACCAGTTACGACCGCGGAGAATGAGGCCCGGTAGCTTGCATCCCGGGATTGCGCTAGAATGTCGAATGCCTTATTAGAATTTAGAGAAGACTCTCCAATCCCAGAGACTAGGGTATGCGACTTTCGATGATTTAAATTTAGTTGATTCTCTAGGAGAGAAGTTATGAAGTTTATCTAAAACGCCGAGTCTAAGATTGCTCGGCAAGGCATAAATTCTCCAGCCTTATTTCTCACATAGATTATGGCGGTTGAAAGCAACACGTTATCAACAGGCGGAATATCTGTGGGGTTTGATGGAGGGTTCGATGAATGTGAACCGTGATGACCGTGGTGAACGTCGCAAAAAGATCCGGCCAATCAGAATAGGATCCATGGAACCGAGCTATCTGCAGAATTGGCAACCGATGCTTCCTAGATCGGAAAGAAAGATCCGGATGGTTAATAATGTCTATGGATGTTGAATTTGCAGCGGTTGTAGCCGTCAATTGCGATTTGCGAAGCGCCGCTAAACCTCGATTTATTTTCGCTTTCACATCCATGAAAAGTCAAATTTATCCAGCGATCAAATTTTATCCACAATGGACGAGTCACACCAGTAATAAAAGGCACATTCGAAATCTATCTATCAATAATAGTACTGCTGAGAGTTCCAATCTTGGAATTGTTAAGGCCTTCAAGGGAGCTACTCTCGTTCTGGATGACTACCAACTGAGATGCCAACACCCCCCATGACGAAAGAATAGACTCTGACAATACGTCATCCCAATCCACGTTAGCACTCCATAGGGATTGCATAAAGATTTTAGATTTTGTAATAGTTAGATCATACAATTTTGCAATTGTCGACAATGCAATTCGTTTGGTGGATCGATGACTTTTCGGTATTTGAGAAAAACTAAACAAGTGCTGATTTGACGCTCCAACTGAAAATTATTCCTCAGCATCATAAGAGAGTTGATGCATATCTCTTAAACCCAATAAGGTGGTTTCGTTCCATAACTCACAGTTTTTAATTTAAAAACACTGAGCCAAAAAACACTCAACGGTACACTTAAAAAAGTCATTAGGAAACGACATGCGCACGCAGAAGTGCATCTTGAAAATATCGTCACAAAGAACAACTTTGAAAAATCTAAAGTGAAGCAGAAAAAGATTTTTTTTTTAATTGTTGGCATTCAGAGAACTACCAGAAGTCGATTTAGCTTATCCATCAAACACTACACGATGCTATGTGCTCGTGATTTCTATCTTATGTACGCAATGGTGAGAAAGGAGGAATTGTTATATTGTTATTGCAGATGCGTACCGTCATATGATTTTTTTAGCACACGATTTTTTCGTGCTGACTTTTGAACTGGCTTCAGGCTTCCTCACATTTAGTTCACAACCCAGTGAGAAAGCGCTCTAGAGCCAGCCGCTCTTTCACGCATACAGCGATGGTTTTGTGCTGGCTCTAAAGCCAGCCGATCTCTCTTACGCATCTAGCAACATGGCGTGCCTCAAAAGACCGATTTCGCGATCGAACCTATTACATATTTACATTTATATTATTTTATTTTTATGTTTTACTAGGAAACCTGGCAAACTTCGTTTCGCCACCAGATGGCTTCGCTTTATGAAACATTTCGTTTGGTAATTAAAAAATGAAGAATTTTTTTTATTTGGTTTATATTTGAAAAGTAATGGAACCAGTTTAACTTTTCCACTTGCGCAGCATAATTCAGCCGTTTCTCTTTTAAACTTTAACACTTTGCAATATCGGCATATAGTCGTCATTGGTCCAATATCTAAATTTTCATCATCACTGTAATTCTCAGTGGAATCACATTGGAATGCCAATCGATTGTATGATGCCAATGATCTTCGTGTCCTCACGCGTTTTCTCAATATATTTTATATTTCTTCGCGTAAGTTCTGTGAATACACTTATTGATGATGATGTTCGTTCACACGTCGTCCTTTTGGACGATGCACGACCCACATCACTAGCACATTTAAATTTACCACCTTAAGGACAAATACACTTATTTTACACTTTATTTATTTTATTTTTTCCAATTGAAGGAAACGACTTTTTAATATATGGGCTTGTAGTAAATGCTATATATCTGCGATGGATATCTCGCTTTTCTGTCGAACGGAACAAAAAGTATCCTATGTCCGTCTCCTGGCTCTAAGCTATCTCCCTACCAATAATCCTTATTCAATTGAATTTAATAATTGTTAATACTTATATAATTATGAATTTACATTTATCTTTTTTTTTGCTAATTAGCATGTATATATTATAATTCAAATATATAATTATATACATATTTATATATTCTGTATGAACAAATTAATTAAATTGGGGCTTAGTTATTTTTATAAATGTTTATTAATCAAATAATCATTTATGTGTCCGAAGCCTGTTTAGGCCAAGGTTATTATAAAGACAAGAAAGAAAGCTAACTTCGGCACGCCGAAGTTTATATACCCTTGCAGATAGAACTTCTATGAATAGGAAACCATACAATATAAATTATATATATTTGTATTAAAAAACAATGAAGTAATAGCTGCTTTCATTTCATTCACCTATACATATTATATTTGCAGTTTTACATACACAGATTTGCATTTTTCCTCTACATCAAACGATCGTTTGTATGGCACCTATAAGATATAGTCGTCCGATTTTCATAAAATTTGACACAAAATTTAAGACTAATATAAAATAGCTATACCTTAAATTTGATGAAAATCAGCTGAAAACTGAAAAAGTTATAAATTTAATTGTATTAATTTCTCGATCGTTCCTATGGGAGCTATATGATATATTAGTCCGATTTTCATAAAATTTTACACAAAATTGTAGAGTATAGTAAAATGGCTATATCTTAAATTTGATCCAATTCTATTGAAAACTGAAAAAGTTAAAATTTTTTTGTAAAAATTTTACGATCATTCCTATGGCAGCTATATGATATAGTCGTCCGATCCGGCCCGTTCCGACATATATACGAGTGAGAGTATATAGAAGGCTAACTACAAAGTTTCATTCAGATAGCTTCAAAACTGAGAGACTAGTTTGCGTAGAAACGGACAGACGGACAGACGGACAGAAGGACAGACGGACAGACGGACAGACGGACATGGCTAGATCGACTCGGCTGTTGATCCTGATCAAGAATATATATACTTTATATAGTCGGAGGTGCCTCCTTCACTGCGTTGCAAACTTCTGACTGAAATTATAATACCCTGCAAGGGTATAATAATATTTAATAAGTAATTAAAGAACAGCTAAGGCTGTGGAAGACAAATTTATGACTAATTTAAGGGTCTAATCCGGCTGCAGCTCGAGGAGTGCGGAGTCGGCAGTTTCTTTACTGTGCGTGTTGGCCACCGGATATGGCCTGCACTTCGACAGCTTCTGCCTGTGGGAACTGGATGTGTTAACTTCTCCCGCCTTCAAGTTGTCGCAATCCCGCTCGTATTACATCGCCGTTGGTTCCTGGTTTAGTTTGACCTCTGGTCCTCTGATAGTGATAGCCAAACCATACGGTTGGGCACAGCAAGAAGAAGGCGAGTACGGCAAGAAAGTAGCTGTAGGTGTAGTTCTTCTATTAGAGCCCCGATGTGGTGGAGGTTGCTTAGACTCAGCTCGTGAAGAAAAGAGAGACTTAGATGGTTTTTTCTTTTCATCAAACTTCCCAGCTGGTTTACGAACCAAGTTCCTTTGAGACCCTGGCGAGCGAAGAGTGAGATTATGGCAACGGGATGTGCAGCAACATGGCCAGCAAACCAAAGGACTCCAAAGAAAATAGAACCCTGCGCCGAGGCTGCAGGTCAGAGACGATGCGAGACGAATATTCCGCTACGATGATGACGACGTAGGACCGAGGCTGAGGGTCGTCCTCAAATTGGCAATCCGCATGCGCTAGCACATATAGAATGCCTGGACATGGCTTTCGACGCTTTTAACGCTCAGCACTAACTTAGATCTCCATTTTCTCGTATCTTCTTGTTAGCTCAGCAACAAACTTCCTGCAGAGGGAAACACAGGTTGCATCTCTACACCCACTCGTTTGCTCAAAAGGTCGGTGAGGCTTCTTGAGGAGAAAAATTCTCGAAATAATTCAAAATAATTCACACAGCCGCAACTCCAATGCCCGTAGCGCAAAGGCGGCGGTGGTGGCCGAAATTAATCTCTTGGTGACCCGCAAACACTTTAATATTAACCTTATTTCACAAAGACGGTTTCACAGTTTTGTTACTTTTAGCTTTGATTATAAGATTTTCGTACCAAGTGCCGACGCTGGCGGACAGGCAATCACAGTTGCTCCGCGAACTTGGATTATACACCAGTTAATGCGAGACGTCTCCGAATAAACTTTCTCTTTAAAATTAATTATCGTGCTACTACACACGCCTATTTGCAGATCCGTCAAAAAGAAAATAGGCCGAGATCAAAAATGGCAGGCGGAACTTCGTGGCAACTGTCAAGTGTCAAGCAAAACTATTTGCTAACAGCTGATTATTGATAACTATCTTCACTAGGTGGCAACGTACTTTTTAGTTCCCCTAATTAATCGACGATCATTGACTAGTATTTTTAAATTGTCGCTTCAGGCCGTTAGATAACATTGCAAAAATTATTGTAACTTCAGTCAGAGACAAGCGTCCCCTAAAAGATAATATATTTCTAGCTTACTTTTTTTTTAAATCTAGCTTGTACGGGCGCTCATCACCTGGCAACACTGAACATCACTGACCCACCCGGTATTTGGTTTTTGTTTCAACTCTAATACAATGTTTCAACTCTAATACAAATAATTTTGTATTAAATGAAATACACAGGCTTGGGTTCTTTATTGGGTTCAAAAAATTTATATTTATTAAAAATGTAACATTGATACATAATATTTTCTTTATTAAATAAATTAATTATTATTACAATAGAATTGCCAATAACATTTTTTTACTTCAAATTAAAAAAAATAACAAATTTATTATTAAAAAATACTTGTTTAATCAACTAACATAAAAATACCAACTATTTAATTTCGTTTATGCTCGTGGTTACTTGAAGATATTAATAACAGAGGCAAAGAGAAAATGTCTTCGGAAACTTGTTATGGCGCGCAATTTTAAGCAATATTACGATCATGGTTATCGAAGTTAAATAGTTTTCGCTTTAAATTTTCGTTTTTTGAAATGGTATAAGGTGAGAGTAACATTGTGGGGATGACTTTGTGTGATGATTTAAGTTCGGGAAGACGAATATTAAGTATATTGTTGTTTGGATATGGCTCAAATCTATTGCTCCATATAGGATCGATCCAAAACGGTATTTTCTGTTGGTTAAGAAAGCAACATAGGTGACAAATCTAATAAAAATTATAATGTCCCAGTCGAGTCTTACCTCTGGTGGTGCCGTATTAAGATTCTGTGACTCATTTAAGGATTTAATCGATTCGTAAAGTTCTCCAGTATCAATTTCCGAATGATGACCCAGAGGGTGAGCTTGAAGTTGATTTTGAATTGGTTGCTTGTAGAGGCTAGCTTGCCGCCGATGCCAAAGTTTTGACGATGACCGCTCATCTAACGCTGCGTCAGCCATAATAGCAGTGCTTGACGTAATATTGGTCAAGTCACCAGCTCCTAAACTAGCGTTTAGATCACCAGATGAGTTAAAGGAACTGTTAAAAAGCTTAAGAGACGAGTCATGCATCGATTTCTCCTTGTTAAACCAGTTACTGTACAAACTATAGTTGCTACGACAGGATTCAAGGCTACTCAGCAATGATGAGTTGGTACTCGGTGGTGAACTTTTATTTGGCGCTAGCATTAATCCTCCAGACTCCTGGTAAGTTTGCAAGTTGTTCACCTCTGCCTTAAATGACAAGTTGGAGACAAACCCAGGGGCGAAATCACTACCTAACGCACGTATTTTCAGTGGGGGTGGCGCCTGACTGTAAGTACTGAAGTTACGTTGCTGGGTTCTAGGTTTCGCATATGTCATCTTTTCCGAACCAAACAAATTCGGGTGGTTACTCTGACGGACTGGCAAGGGGAAAAACGTTAAAATTACTTCGATTTTTAATATAATAAGTGGTCATAAATAATAGCTGACTGATTTTTATATGCCATCTGTGTACAAATATTACCCAAGGACACTTTCGCGGTTACACTCTTGAGAAATATTACTTATTATTTTAATCTTCTGTTGAGTGTTATCAGTTTAACTAATTTCATGAATTCGAAAAAACTGAAAACAGCATCAAGTTTTAGCGCTTCCTTCAAAACAGACGGAAAAAAATGCAAAAGCGGTCAACTGTTATTTGCGATCAGTGATTATGATGGATTCTTCAATACTACTTACGCTCACAGTTGTTATTTAAAGTCACATCGCTTCTTTCTTGTGTTGGACCATTGTTAATCGTAAAGATGTCATCATAAGCGGCAATAATTGAGTATAGGTTAGGAAACCCGAACTCAAATGTGGTGGTGAGGCCACATTCTAAAGCGCTCCTTATCTCATACACGTACATATTGGGACGCTGTTCAAGCAAACGCACAATGTTCATTAAGAACTTCATAAAATTGGTAAGCCGCACAGATTGTATCTCAGTATCGGGGTCGTTGTAGATCTAGAAAGAATATTATAAGCAATATATGTAGATATATTTATCTAGTGCATTACTTACTTCAATCAAATGTCGCATAGCTAAAAGAGCTGATTCGGTGAGCTGTACTTTGTGCTTAGCGTTGAAGTCGCTTAATAAAGTTTTGACGGAACACGGTCTGATAGAACCGGACATTACTACCAAGGCAGTAGATTGTTCCGCATTCTCATTTTTAAGAAGAAGTTTGCATACCCGGTAGCATATAAGACGAAAGTCGAGATTGTTATTGTGACAAATGAGCCAAGTGTCGTGGTCTTTTTGCTTCACCTCAACGTAGGGTAACATCTCAACTGCCTTGATCATGTTAGATGATACCCCAAGGGTCTGAGGCTGAATTTGATAGCCGAACTTTTTTTTGTGCAGCTTCAGCACTTGATCTAATTTCATGCAGTTTGTAGTATTACCTGTTGAGTTGCGTATTAGCGTTTCGCATTGCTCCGCAAAGACACGTCTGGCTATAGTTGGCGAGAGCACTATTTTTTTGTCCTCGTCATTGGTTGTCTCCATGTCTATCAAACCCGTTATGGCATCCAGAAGATCAGCTAATTTTAGAAAGCCGTAGTCACTGAGTCGACATTGGTAGCCAAAATGGTAGTGATAAGACCGTACGAACTTTTGAAAAAGAATAGTATACTGAAGAGCGTTTTGAAAAAGTTCCACCATTTCTCCGGCAAAGACAAAGGTTTTTTCCAATTCACTGCTTGTTTGTTTACGTTTTGGCATCGATATAAGCTTATCTTTGCCATTATGTACAGGGCTTAAGACGATGATATTTGAATTGACGAGACTGTCTAATATATCAACAATGTCGCAAACGCCATAATCTGTAACGTCAAAATTACGACTTTGTGTTTGACTAAAAATAACAGGTAGCTGAGAAAGTAACAGCGAATTGTTACCACTAGCACGCAAAACACGAAACAGATCTGAGGTGAATCTACGTATCTGAGTTCGGTGGGTCAGCGTGATTTGACGATATTCTCCATCACCCATAATTTGTACGATAGATGATAAAGCCTCGAACAACTCGATTAGCTTGGTGTACCCGTAATCAGCCACTCGACATTGCTTTCCGAAATGGTTGTGGTATGCCGGAATAAAACGATTAAACTTAATGGTGGATTTGGGTGACATCTTAACCAGCTCAATAACTTCACGAGAGATTTGAAATAATGGATCTGCAGCCGAGTTTTTAAAGAAGCAGCTTCGATCACTAACACTCAGATTGCTATTATTTTTATTATGAATGCAGTTAATTGATTCCATTGACGATGACGGTTTCAATTCTTTGTTCAGTTCGAACCAGCCTAAAATTTTAATGCCGAAGGTGTTCACTTGAATCTGAATACCCTGGACACAGCATATCAAGTGTTCCAGGTTAATGCCTCTATCATTCGCCACTATCGGCACTTTAAGTTGACCTTCAATGCAATGAATTAGGGTAGCCACTGGAATATCTCCAGGGTGCATCTTCAACAACGGATAAATTAATTGTTGGATCTCGGAAATTTTCATGCACACATTGGGCAAAGGCTCAAGGTCTTGCTCGGCCCATCCTTTATGCTGCTCCCTTTTAAAATGTACCGTACAATAGGGAACGCTGTGTTGCAGCCCTTCCATTAGAGGAGAACTTTCCAAAGTATTTACTAGGTCTGGCTGTAAACTAATAAACTTTTCCTCCTTGTTGTCTGAATTAATAGTACAGATATCCTGCATTTTGTACAAATCCAGAACACTGATTGAGGTTTTAAAGCGCGACTGAAAAAGTTCTCGAAACTTATACATTGGCAATGTATAGTACGGAACATCCTTAAAAAAATTATAAATCCATTTAGTTAATTTAAAATAAATTTAAATATTTAATTTATGGAGTAAAGTTATTTTAATTTTACCTTTAGTAGTCCAGCAACCTGGCAACGAAGTGTATTGACCTCAGTTGTGGAAGAATCGCGCGTATAGCTGACCAACATACGCTTGTGTCCAATCTTTTTGCGGTGCAAATTCGAGACAACTTGCTTGGCAAACTATATAAAAAATACAACTTTAACTATTACTTAAAAGTGGTAAATGTGGAGAATTTTCTCACATAAAGATCAGGAACAGTTACTTTAGCATAAGAGCTACCTTCCAAAACAAGCGACACTACCGGAGTGATCGGATTCAGCTGATTCATGAGGAAGCTACGCAAACTGGAGTCGTCCAGCGAATAATCCAGGTTGGTGATCTGCAAAGTCACAGCGTCGTCGACATCAGATCCGTTGTGGAAGTTGCGTCCTTCGTTATCGTTACAGACTGTGCCACCCAGCACTCCGTTGCCCACGACGGTGGTGACAACACTAGAGCAAGGCATAACCACACTGGTGACTAAAGGAGGATTCTCGAGACTTTTAACTGAATTGATAGTGGAAGCCGAGCTAAAAAATTGTGTACTATGGGCGATTGGGGAAATTGCAGAGGGCATGGTTTGCTTTAAATTTAAATTTCCATGCTGTTGGTGGATTGTTGCATAGTGATAAATATAGGAAGACATTTTCTGTTGTTGTGATTGTTGGTGTTCAGAAAGATGGCTGCTCAGTGACGGATCAACACCATTGCGGTTAACATTGTAGGGCATATAACGGGTTCGACGACAGCAGGAAGAACTACTGCTAATATCATGTATGGTACCGATCGCTGGTGTGTTAGGTGGGAGCCCACTGGTGCCACTATTGAACCGCTGTTCGATGCCGGTCAATTTGTTGTAATCAACAACCATAGAGCCGCTTGACAACGAAGTGGGAGGAGGCTGTTGATAAAGTTGCGGGTGGACAGCTGGAGCTCTGTGCATGTAAAGTGCAGTTGCAACTTTTCCAATTCTATCGGATGGCCAGCTTTAAAATAAGTAAAATTAGTAAAGTTTTAAATAGCATATTGATAATTAAACAATAAAAAAATAAAAATAAAAAATTAAACAATAACCAAAAAAAGCCTTCATTGCGAAGTTATTATACCATTCTAGTCTGTAATTTTGTTAAATTGGAAATCGACCTTAGAAATCTTACTGGATGTAATTTATTCGGTTTTACAAGCTTCTTATTCAAAATGATTTTAATAAAATTATTATTTTACTATATGTTAAGATAAGTTACAAGCGATAAAAAATCGAAAATAATTCAATTTTGATTATTTTTTTTCTATTTTTAAATTTCTTTGTTCATATAATCAGGCCAAAGTAATAAATGCAATAATAAAACTAGAGTGGGGTAGGACAGAAATACCCCGTGCTCAAGGTTATTGTATTAAATTAAAAGACAAATGCGTTTTTAACTGGCTTTAAAATTTTTGCTGTTTTTCTATTTTATGTATCTTAGCCACCGATATTTCATATTTGTCGCTTATAAAAGTGCGTTTTATGGAAATATTTTCTGCCATAACACATTTTTTTAAATAAAAAAAAATTAATGGTATTTTATTTAAAAACAATAAATCAAAATGAAAAACTTATTTTATTATTCACGGTATTCAAGCTAAACAATAGTAATAGTAAAACAAAATACTACGGGGACAATATAGCTTTTTAAATTATTATTATTCAATATCACTGTGTACACTGTATACCGTCTTGATCGGCCTATCAGACGAATGGTTGGTGTCCTCATACTGGTTGACTCTACACTCACGTCAAAATTATTAACTTTCGAGGAATGGAACGATGATGAATTCCTTTGTATGCAGCTATATGGCAATGGTAGTTCCACTTTTTTTACAGTGACTACTTAGTAGTTCAACATCCTTGGGGTTATGTGGTCGTCAAAGAATTCCACAAATACTTTTTGAACTCTGCTCTTTATATTACCTCTATTTTACTATCTATTTACAACGCAGACTTCGAATGCAATAGCGTCCAACAAATTTGGTATAGCTATAGCTGTACTTTGATATCTGAATTTAATTGGTCCGATCTTTATATTTGCATTGACATGACAATGCTATATAATGACTCATAAACATAAAATCTAGGCTGGGACTAAATTTAAATTGTTCCCAATTCGGCCTTTGCCCTAATGTAAATGCTACGTCAAACTTTACTCAGAACCCTAAACTGTTTTTTAATTTTGTTAAAAATAAACGTAAGCCTACAACACATTCTTTCCTGCTTAATTTAAAATACGATCGTAAATAATGAACAGATATTTACAGCACGTTTGCAATCTGTAATTCATCCACGTCAACATAGATTTATTAAGCGAATATCAACAAGGGCTTTTATAATAACTGTCAGGCATATTTCCCTTATAAAGATTTTAAAAAACTATTTGATTTGTTAGGAAACTCTATAAAATCGAGTTTCCGGTTCATTTTAGGTGGATCTTATTGACAGAGCGCAAAAGGTCTGTCAAAATGTTTGTTCTTGGCTTACTTCTGGCGTCCAGTGCTGCTAGTTTAGCAGTTTGGTTATTATTTCTTGCAACTTTTAAAAAAATTTGACAAAACTGTGAATTTTTATTTGATATATTCCGGCGTCCGGCAAGGAAGCTATTATTGTTTACATTATTTATAAATAACCTTCCCAAAGTCCTGACTAACTCCAGAGTACTTGTACACACTGATGACGTAAAGCTTTGCGAACAATAGAAGGACGTCGCCTGACTTGTTGAGTCAGCTCAATTTCCACGTACTAAGTAGAAATACTAGATTTTATATACCTTTAGTTTTGCAACACTGTAGAACCTCCTTTGAGTTGCATTAACCTTTCAGAGTATTATGGGCAAATTATAATGATTTGTACACATTAATCCCCCCCAACGGTGATTATCTTCCAAAACTTAAAACTAAAGTTCTAACCCACTTGGTACACATTCAGGAAAGCAATCTGGCAGCATGCCTGAAGTTAGTGTTGCCCTTTCAAAATTCGTATCCCGTCCGATTCCTTGCGTCATGTTTGAAAAACAAAAAAAAATCTCATGATTTTCGCTTAGAGAACTCTGAAACAAAGTAGGCAATGAAAATTCTATTTGCCTAGCCTAAGATAAACATATGACCCAGTCCTAAAAGGATTTGATCAAACTCGGCACTAGTCCACCTTATGAAGGAGGAAGATATGCTGCACCGATCAATAACTCTGCTGGGGTGGTCAGCTCAGAGGCACTCGAAACCTGTTAAGATAATGACTCCGCAATTAACATAATGCCAATGTTATGCTGTAGGGCAAATATAAGCAGCTCATTCACATTCGGTGCCAAGCTGTGGGCGTTACATAATCCAATGCGGAGGTTATTGGTGATGCGCTCTATAACTGGGAACTGTAAGAGAAGATCCTCCCTGAACCTGATGCACATTAACACTGTGAGGGATAACTGAGCGACTACCCTTTGAAGCTCTTGCATCATTTGAAAAATACTCAACAAGTCAGGAGAGGACCCAGAAGAAGCAACAGGAGTAAAGGAATGAGCACGAACTCTAGATCTCATTATCTTGCTATTGCCGGGAAGGTTAGAGAAGGTTAGTTAGTTGCATTCCGTTTAAAACAAACAGCCAAGGCCGTGATAAATTGATTTCGATTACAGGAACTTAGTTGTTCTGGACCAGAAAGGTTGATCCCAGAGCGATGACTGTTCAGTCCAATTCATATTCCGCGTGATTACCAATGCAGTTTACACAAACAAGGTCAGTAGGGTGCTCAAGTGAATAATGTCCACAAACAGGCCCTTTTAAAAAATCTTTTTTTTTTGTGGGGTCAAAGTCGAAACACCTGAAACACTGCCTTAGAGACCTGTTTTTCACTCTCATTCGTCCAACTCTAGAGACCTTTAAAACGTCCTTGATGTTGAGGAGCTAGGTTTAGAAACTATACATTCTGGTTGGGCTAGACAATAGTAATACCATCGGAGTTAACCAGAAGAGAAAGCCTTGCTTTCGCATTATACTCATTGACAATCATATCAACAGATGGAGGTTTCTAGATTATCTACCACTATACGAAACGTTTTATCCTAGTGCAAGCAAATATGGGTATACTGGACATGATTAGCGCTTAAAAGCTTTAGTATATGGCGGTGGTCGTCAGAATTCTTTCAGTAAATGCGGAAATCCCCAGTAGGAGACAGTTGAAATTCATAATAAAATACAATAGGAGGGGATAGGAAGGCCTCCAAGGTCAAGGAGGGGAAACTCCGTAGTCTATTGATGTTTATTCCGCTCCATCACTAGATCATTCTGGAACGCAGTTCTTTGATAAAAAACTTTATGTCTGACCCCACCGTATATTTTACAAAAAATTTTTGGACTTCAGATATTTTTAGTGTAACGAAACAGCCAGTGATATATAATAGTACACTAATAAAACTTTAGAGAAGGATCAAATATGTTGTTTATAAATAATGCGGTTTTTCTTAAATATTAAAAATACAGTAAGAATAATTGAGACCACTGAAATTAAAATTTAAAAATAGCGCGTCGAAGTCGCACCTATTAATCCTATCTCCATTTCGCGATTTGAGTTACCATTCATTAACTATTCTTATTTCCAGTATTAATTCTTGGTCAGACTCTGAAATAGTCCTACATTGGATCCATTATCTCCACGGATTTGGTACACATATGTATGCAATCACACTGCTGAGGTTTTAGAGGCTTGTACAGAAAACTGCTGGCAAGATATTTGAAGTGGCGATAGTCCTGTAGGGTGTGCAACTTAAGGAACACTTCAAAAGGACCTCGCTTCTCTCAATTCTATGCTTGGATAACGCACCGTACGAATTAATAGTGGCCAAATTTTTATTATCAGTTTAGCAAAGCAATGAAAATGACGTTGACAACGACGAATAACAAACGGATGTACTTTAACAAAAATATTAGTTTGAAATAAACTAAAACTAATATTTTTGTTAAAGTATATCAACGTCATTTTCTTTTATTCGCACTCTGTGAGAAGATGATTACGATACACCCGCCCCGGTGGAGCCAAAGACTGAATGTTTCGGGTGCTACCCAAAATTAATAGTCAGCTATAGGATTTGGCAATTTTTCTGTGCGCGTTCATGAAGGCAACAGTAGCTTACCAGTGTACAGCATTGGAGAATAAGCAGAAGCCCTGGATGGTGACGCCGGAGCAACTGATCCGTATCTAATGAGAAAACGAGAGTATCACACCGTTTACCACGAGGGTGAGCAACCTGGCGGCGTTTCTGCAGGTACCGTTCAGGTACCTAAATCGAACGTTGCTCCGTTCAACGTTAAGTTCGGTGCTGAGGTATTTACCTTTCGGGATATATTTTTTTTTAAACGACGTCCGACGACAACAAAAATAGAAAATCCCCGCAATTATTTTACGTTTTGCTTTTCAAACTACGTAGAATTCCTCTAAATGAAAATTAAAAAATATCTAAGAGTTGAAACCTATTAATATGAACTTAATATTATATTTTCAAGAGTTAGTGTATTTTTTATGTACTCTAATTTTGTTATCTTATTTAACTAGAGTTATTAATTCATTTAAATTTTGTTGGTCAATCTTTAACAGAAACAAAAATTGTTTAAAGAAAATTCATTGAATTAATAAATTAATAAAATAAAATAAGATAAAGTTTGCCTCGTGCGGGATTTAAGCTCGCGCTAGCCTGTTTGGAAGGCGGATGTTCTAACCCCTGAGCCACGCGCCTCGCGGCGGCAAAGACAAATATCAAGCGAGCAAAAAAACTAAATGTCCTAAAGGGGTTTGTGTCCCTCTCCCACGCGATATGCAAATGAGTGTGTATCATCGATGCAATTTTAGTTGTCTACGTGGCGCGATGGGTAAGCGGACTGTTAAACATTAAGGCAAAGGTTCAATCCCCAGTTGGTTATATAATATTCTAAAAAAGTTTGTAAGTATGGTTGAAAATGATTTACT